CTGCAACACGTGGCATCTTGGTACAGAAAACACCTTGGACAAGCTTTTCAAGTGAGAAGTGTTGGATCTGAGAGGGACATGACCTCTCAGTGGCCTCTCACTACTACTACTACTACTACCCTGCACCTCTCCTTCCGACAGTATTTAAGTCTCCGCACTGTCGCTTGATCTTCAGATAGTTCCTGACTATGGAACTGAACTTCTCCAGGCCGAGGGACTGACAACCTCAAATTCTACGACTTTAAGGGTGATGGACTGATTACATCGTCTTCACATCTCTACTGTTCCTGCCTACTTTCTGTATTCGACTGAAGAAGCCTACTGTGTAGGCGAAACGTTTCGGAATAAAGTTGTCTAACTGTTGCATATGTATCTTACCTAACAACCTGTCGGTATTGTATACCAGTTTGATGTTCAGCTTGAACATTGCAGGTTCAGAAGACACTCTCTTACTTAAAATTTTAGCAGTAGAAACCAGTATATATACACAAATGGCATTAACTCTACTACACAACCTGTTCTTGTTGGAGGCCCACTTCTTTTTCTCATTTACATCAGTGACTTCCCAAACGCATCTAAACTCCTTAAACTCGTTTTATTTGCAGTGACACTACTTATGTCTTCTCCCACCCAAACCCAACTATACTAACGGACACTACTAAAAATATCTACTTGGATGACTACCAATAAACTTACTCTCAATATAGATAAACCCTTCTTCATGCTGTTTGGAAACAGAGCATCAAATATACAGCTAAACATATTGATAAATGGTTCACCCATTTTAAGACACACATATGGCAAATTTCTAGGTCTCCACCTTGACTGCAGTCTCAGATTCCAAACCCACATACAGCAAATATTCAAGAAGGTCTCCAGAACAGTAGGTATCCTTTCAAAGATACAGCATTATGTACTCCAAACGGCTCTTCTTGCTATTTACCACTCTTTCATTTACCCCTACCTCACCTACGGTATTTGTGCATGAGTGAATATCAAAATGGTATTCAATACCGACAGGTTGGTAGGTAAGATAGATAGGCAACAGTTAGGCAACTTTATTCCAAAACATTTCGCCTACACAGTAGGCTTCTTCAGTCGAATACAGAAAGTAGGCAGAAACAGTAGAGATGTGAAGACGTTGTAATCAGTCCATCACCCTTGAAGTCGTAGATTTGAGGTTGTCAGTCCCCCAGCCTGGAGAAGTTCAGTTCCATAGTCTAACTAACTGAAGATCAAGCGACAGTGCAGAGACTTAAATACTGTCGGAAGGAGAGGTGCAGAGTAGTAGTAGTAGTGAGAATGCTGCCACTGAGAGATCACGTCCCTCTCAGATCAAACAATTCTCACTGTTCTTGCCTACTTTCTGTATTCGACTGAAGAAGCCTACTGTGTAGGCGAAACATTTTGGTATAAAGTTGCCTAACTGTTGCTTATGTGTCTTACCTACCATTTGTGCATGGGGCTGAACCACAGCAAATCATCTTAAACCTTTAATAACCCAACAAAAAGCTGCTGTGCAGTTGATTATCAACACCTGCATTAGACAGCACACTCCACCGCTTTTTAAGAGCCTTAATTTTCTTAATATACAAAATATCTACACTTATTATTGTGCCTACTACACACACACAGAACGTTATACTTAAATGTTTACCCTCCCCTCAAAATCCTCCTTAATAACTACAACAGAACACACAGGCATAACACAAGGCACAAATCACTTTTCGATATCATTCTTGTCCATCTCTCCCTATGCAAAAATGGTATGCACATAAAGGGCCCAAAGATCTGGAATTCATTGCCAGAACACATGCTCACCATCTTGCCTTTTTAAGCAAACAAGATCACCATCTTGTTTGCCTAAAAAGGTGTACCTTTCTATTTTTTTATTTTTGTAACTATCTTTTACTGTCCTCCATTAGAGAAGTATATTTTTCTACTGTCTTGTGTGTGCAGTCTATAGTAGTGCAGTACAGTCCAAAGTTATGCACTACTGTTTTAAAACCCCTTTTTTTTCTTTTGCTGTCTACTGTATAAAGTTAATTATAGCATTAGTGCAGTAACTGTTAGGTGCTATTGATATACCCAGTCTTATTAGTTCATTATATTTTACTACTACTATTTCACTATGTATATATTTATTAGGTTTTACTATCTACTGGAACAATATACACTTACACCATTATCACCCTTCTGCAATTCAATATCATTTAACCCCAACTCATTACCTGTAAATATAAAAGAAACACTACCTGTTTATAAATTCAAGTCTCTTCTCAAAGATCACTTACTCACCCAAAACCAAATAAATACTGAATAACTGAACCTTATAAATTGTATATCTTAAATGTTTCTCACAATTATATCACATAAATGTTAAACCTAAAACCCAATCTAACTTTATTATTTTTTAAATACACTACCTAACAGAATACTCCATTCTACTGAATGTACAACAATGCATACAACCATATGACCTGTCTTTGTAATACTCACTTGTGCTTTATAGTAATCTGTTTACATTAAGTTTTATCACCGATGTCATCATTGCTTAGTTCATCTTAAGTTAATTTTAAGCCAGCCCGTAATGCTATGCATAGTATAAGTGGCTTTGGCATACTGCTCTTTTCTGTATTTTTTGTACCTCTGTATGTGTGCACAAATTTTTAAATAAATAAATAAAAAAAAAAAATGCTCAGTGCTGACATCGACCCTGAAATGAACCTAATTAATCTAAAGCCCAGTCACCATTTAACTGAAACCAATTGCCTTTACCACACAGCAACAGAAGCCAGTACTGTCCTCAGCAATGCCAGAAATATCACAATTTTGAATTACAATATTAGATCCCAAAGTAAACACTCTAATGACCTCTGGATACTCTTAGATTCATTAAAGACAAACTTCTGTATTATTCTTACTGAAACCTGGCTTAAGCATGACACAGTAGACATCTACACACTACCAGGATACACAGCAATTGACAACTGCAGATCAGAACAAATTGGGGAAGGTATTGCCTTCTATTATTGCAATGAACTATCATGTATAAACACCATATCCTTCAATGATGAATGTGATGAATATATATTCACAAACTTCTCTGTAAAAAAATAAAAAACCCTAAAGCAATTGGGGCCGTATACAGGATGCCTCATACTTATATCCTAGCCTTTAGTGATAAACTAAAAACATTGATTACAGATACACAAATGAATAAGCACCACCTACTACTAGCAGGAGACTTCAACATTAACCTTGGCCTAGCAGATGACTAACCTGTTGCTGACTTCATTAACAATGTGAACATTACACTACTCATACCAGCAGTTACAAAACTAGCAAGACTAATTGAGACAAGTGCAGTCATAATTGACCACATGTGGACAAACATACTAGTCCCCCTTGAAGCTGGGATAATCACTGACAACACTGCTGACCACTATCTAACTTTCCTCCTAACCAACATTTGTAAGCAACTGATGGAATATAAAAAGTTCTTCTTTTAACAATATGATGAGGCTTCAATAAGTAATTTCACTGCAGAACTAAGCTCAGTTGACTGGCCTACAGAATTTACCAATGCCGCTGGTATCAGTGAATGGATAGAGATATTTCTAAACAAAATTCAAAGACTATATAACAAATATTGTCCCATAAAAACTAAACAGATAACCAGTAAAAGACTAAGTTGCCCATGGCTTACTAACAGCATCCTAATGTCCATCAATATGAAACATCAATATGAGAAACAATATAGAAGGGGCTTAATAACTAAATAATTTATCAAACACTATACATCAATCCTCACCAATTTAATCACAAAGTCTAAGCAACTATACTATTCTAATAGATTCACTGAAATGAGAGGAGACATAAAAAAGACCTGGAAAACACTCTCTCAGATCCTGGGCACCCACAAACTGAACATAACTAGTAATATTGTACTAACTAAACCAAACAAACAGAAATTCCAGCCTATTGATACAGCTGACAAGTTAAATGACTTCTTCTCAGCCATAGGATCAAATCTTGCCAGTAAAATTCCAATTACCAATGCCCGAGCTAATGATTATCTAGATGGAAACTTCCCAACATCCCTCTATCTTACACCAACGGAGCTCACTGAGGTTACCATGATTATTAACTCTCTAAAAAACAAATCAGGGAATGTAACCCAAGTGCCACCACTGCTGTATAAATGAGTGTCTCAAATCCTTTCACCCACCATTGCATTACTCTTCAACAAATCACTAGAAACCAACACCTTCCGTGCATCACTCAAGCTACCAAGGATTACACCAAAGGTGGTGACTCAACAGATGTAAACAATTATAGGCCAATATCAAACTTGCCTTTACTTTCGAAAATCTTTTCAACACATCTGCCATCTCTCACTGAGGCAAGGTGACCCATAAGAAAAAACTTTCATCATTCAACACTTTCACCATCACTCATACATAATTACTGTCTTTGCAGAGGCACTCAGATACGACAGTTTAGATGTCACTCCAAACTGCCAATATCCTAAACCCCCTCCTTTAACCCTTAAAATGTCCAAACGTAGATCTGCGTTCGCTCGCGTAGCGCTCCGAACATAGATCTACTTTTTTTTACATAAAACACACAAAATCGAACATATATTTACATTCGGAGCACTACACGAGCGAACGTAGATCTACATTTGGACAGTTTAAGGGTTAAAGTGCAAGCATTGTACTTCCCGTTTCCAGGACTCAAGTCTGGCTAACCGACTTTCCTGATTCCCTTCACAAAATATTACCCTGCTCACACTCCAACAGCTCATCAGGTCCCAAAAACCATTTGTCTCCATTCACTCCTATCTAACACGCTCATGCATGCTTGCTGGAAGTCCAAGCCCCTCACCCACAAAACCTCCTTTACCCCCCCTCCATCCTTTTCGGGGATGACCCCTACCCCACCTTCCTGTAAAATTAAGAGGAATCTTTTAGGATTAACAAGTTTTTATCCTTCAGCTACGAGTTCAAAATAGCTCGTGTACAATACCGGATGACTTCCAGCAGGCCATAAGGCAGTGCTATGGTGTGTACTCCCCATCCATTGAAGATACGGAACCATTTGGCCCAGGAAATTCAACAGAGTAAGTAAAAACTTATGCTCAGTAAATTAAGGAGACAGAGCAAACATTTAATAAAGGCTTATACTATCTGTGTGTCTGGTTCACTATGTCTCTGTTTACTGCTTATCTTACATAGTAGTGATACTGATGGTTATAATAGTACACTAGAGTGATGTAAATTAGATGAACACTGGTAGTACATATAGCAGTGCAGAACAGGTATTTAGTGTAATTACTGTCATGATAATAATCATGATGAATGCAATTCTTTAAGACCAGCTGGCAATCATATAAGACCAACTGACAATAACAAAAATAAGACCAACTGTTAGTAACAACAATAAGACAGGTAATGTTTATTAATAGTGTATTAATAAATGCTCTTTACAGATGGGAGTACCACACTGAAGAGGAGATGAATGGCACCAGCTACTGGGGACAAATTGCAGTCTACTCTGGTGCAGGAAGCTATATTGTAATGCCTTTTTATAAGTATATATTGTCTAAAACTAAAGAAAGTAGTCCTAAAATATTAATACCTCATTTATACAACAGCAATTTCTTTTAAATATAGCACAATATAGCTTATGCAGTGGACCCCCAGTTAACGATATTTTTTCACTCCAGAAGTATGTTCAGGTGCCAGTACTGACCGAATTTGTTCCCATAAGGAATATTGTGAAGTAGATTAGTCCATTTCAGACCCCCAAACATACACGTGCAAATGCACTTACATAAATACACTTACATAATTGGTCGCATTCGGAGGTGATCGTTATGCGGGGGTCCACTGTACTGTGTATTATTGATTATGTAATACAGTGGGTATAGGAGGATGGGTATGGGCAGGAAGAGGACAATTGGTGGAATGATGAGGTAAAGGTGGCAAGGGAGAAGTTAGTATATGAGAGGTTTTTTACAGTGTAGAAGTGATATATGGAGAAGAAAAGAGGGTTGAGGCAATGTAAAAGGAGAGCCAATGAGGGAGTGAGTGAGGTTCGGTTTTTTTTTTAATGTTTCTGAGTGAAATTGTAGTGAAAATAATAAGTTAAGTGAGGAAGAGCCAATTGTGAGTATGGGGAAAGTGTGTGGGGCGATGGGTAGAATTAAAAGGACAAGTAGTTTTGATAGATGGGATCAAGACAACTGTTAAAAGCAGGCAGAGATATACAGCAGTTCTGGAGTGGTTGGTATATTTTTTTCAATTTATGCAAGAAAGGGGAGAAGGGTACCTGGGGATTGGCTGAGAGCATGCATAGTCCCTCTGTATAAGGGAAAGGGGAATAAAAGAGAGTGTATGAATTATAGGGTAATAAGCTTGTTAAGTGTATTGGTAAAGTGTATAATAATTATTGCAAGAATTAAGTGCAAGACAAATTAGGATTGCAAAAGAACGAGGAGGGTTTAAGAAGGGTAGGGAATGTGTAGACATTGAAGGATATATGTGAACAGTACTTACATAAAGGTAAGGCACCTTTTGTTACAGTTATGAATTTAGAAAAGGCATGTGATAAGGTGGATAAGGGAGCAATAGGGCAGATGTTGCAAATGTATGGAATAGGTGGTAAGTTTCTAAAAATAGAGTTTTTATGCAGATAGTGAGGCTCAGGTTAGTGTATGTAAGAGAGAGGGGAGATTGTTTTCCAGTAAATGTGTTCAGATATTTTGGAGTTGACTTGTTGGTGAATAGGTCCATGAAAGATGAGATGAGCCATAGAATTGCCAAGGGGAAAAAGATAAGCAGTACACTGAGGAATCTGCAGAGATAAAGAACCTTATCCAAGGAAGCATAAAGGGGAACTGTACCAGAGTATAGTAGTACCAACACAGTTATATGGATGTGAATCATGAATTTTAAATATTGCAGCAAAGAGGAAGCTGAAGGGAGTGAAGATGGTGTGTTTGAAGGCAATGTGTGGTGGGAGTATTATACAGGGAATTCAGAACTTGGAGATTAGAAGATGGTGTATGGTTAGCAAAATTGTTATTCAGAGGGTTGAGGAGGGGTTATTGAGGTAGTTTGGACATGTAGAGAGGGTGGAGCAAAATAATGTGACTAACAAGGTGTATAAATTGGGTGGTGGGATGGAAAGGTTGGAGGTAGGGGGAAAAGGCAGTTTTGAGTGCTAGGGGCTTGGGCTTCCAACTGCCTTGTGTGAAAACATGAGATAGGTGTGAATCCAAACAATTAGTTTTTATGATGATGTGCTGTTGGAGTGTGAGCAAGGTAACATTTGTGAAGGGATTACGGGAAACCTGTTAGCCGACGTGAGTTCAGGAGGCTGGAAGTACAGCACCTGCATCCTGAAGGATAGGTAGGAAAGTTGCAGTTTAGAGGATTCTCTAACCTGTGATGTCTTCACATTTCTAGCAAGACAGCAGTAGAATAAGTATTGGCTCTTTTTTGGGTCACCTTACCTTGGGAGATGGGTGGTGTGTTGAAAATATTAAATTATCTTAGAGTCTATGGACCATTACCTTTTTGACAGATGTTCCCTATGTGTGGATAACAGATTCAGTAGCAGAAAACAAGGTTTATAAAATGAAAATGGGTCTTGTGAATGGATGTGCATAAAAGTCTCGAACCTCATATAGCGATTACTGTATTTGTTTATTCTTCTTTAATCTTCCACACACACTAAGCATTGTGTCATTAAAAATTAGTTCTCACTGTTGTAACTTATTTTCTTTTCTTTGCAGGACCTTGGTTTAAACAGAAGCGAAAGTGAAGACATTATTTCCAATCTCCGTAAAAACTTGTGGGTTACGAGAGCTACACGTGCAGTCTTTATTGACTTTACTGTTTACAATGCCAACATTAACCTCTTCTGTGTTATCAAGTAAATACATTGTTGTTTATGTGTAGAGGAAAAGAGTAACTGAAAATTATGTCAAAATCTTGGGAACAAAATTTGCTTTCACTGCATATGTCTGTTGGTAATCCTAGAATACCGTGCATTGCTCTTTCAATTTTTCCATTGTTTTGCTGTTCTGTGACAGTCATATGTTTCTATGACACAGTGATCGTCAGATCTTCAAGTATTTCTTCCTGATTATTTTTTTTTTTTAATGTCGGCCATTTCCCACCAAGGCAGCGTGACCCAAAAGAAAGGAAAAACTTTCATTATCATTCAACACTTTAACCATCACTCATGCAGTGCTCGTCACAGCATTATGCCAAGTGAGCACCCCGGCATAATGCCATGACGAAAATCAAAGGCCTTCCATACAGGGGGTCTTTTTTCATCAGGGCGTTCTGCTGGGGTGGATGAGACACAACAGTGCAACACTTCCTCACACCACGGCAGCCACGTGAGCAATGAGAAGTCACTGTGAAGTGTGGCAGCAGGCCGTAACATCATGATAATGGCTGCTATAAAGAAGAATGCACTGACAAAAAAAGAACCCCCTCTATGGCAGGCCTTTGATTTTCGTCACGGCATTATGCTGGGGTGCTCACCCGGCATAATGCCATGACGAGCACTGTACATAATCACTATCTTTGCAGAGGTGCTCAGATATGACAGTTTAGATGTCCCTCCAAATTGCCAATATCCCAAACCCCTCCATTAAAGTGCAGGCATTGTACTTCCCATTTCCAGGACTCAAGTCCTGCTAACTGGTTTCCCTGAATCCCTCCACAAAATACAGTGGACCCCCGGTTAACGATATTTTTTCACTCCAGAAGTATGTTCAGGTGCCAGTATTGACCGAATTTGTTCCCATAAGGAATATTGTGAAGTAGATTAGTCCATTTCAGACCCCCAAACATACACGTACAAACGCACTTACATAAATACACTTACATAATTGGTCGCATTCGGAGGTGATCGTTATGTGGGGGTCCACTGTATTATCCTGCTCACACCCCAACAGCTCATGGGGGGCCAAAAACCATTCATCTCCATTCATTCCTATCTAACACACTCATGCATGCTTGCTGGAAGTCCAAACCCCCTCGCCCACAAAACAACCTTTACCCCTCCCTCCAACCTTTCCTAGGACGACTCCTACTCCACCTTCCTTCCGTTACAGATTTATATGCTCTCCAAGTCATTCTACCGCCTCAACAACCCCTTTTCACTCCTCTGACTAATACTTTTAGTAACTCCACACCTCCTAATATCCATACTATGAATTCTCTGCATAATATTTACGTCACACATGCCCTTAGACACGACATTTCCACTGCCTCCAGCCTCCTCGCTGCAGCATTTACAATCTATGCTTCACACCCATATAAGCATGTTGGTACCACTATACTCTTGTACATTCCCTTCTTTGCCTCCATGGATAACATTCTTTGTCTCCACAGATACCTCAACACACCACTCACCTTTTTTTCCTTCATCAGTTCTGTGGTTAACCTCATCCTTCATAAACCCATCTGCTGACAAAGTCAGCTCCCAAATATCTGAACATATTCACTTCTTTCATATTCCCTCTCTCCAATGTGATATCCAGTTTTTCTTTATTTAAATTGTTTGATACCCTCATCACCTTACTCTTATCTATGTTCATAATTTCTATATATTCAAAATTCTCATATGTGACCGAAGTATACTTTGTATTATTTTTCAGGCTGGCATTTGAGTTTCCAGCAACTGGTGGCATTATTCCCTCATGGTCCTTCCTTACTGTGAAATTACTGCGTTATGTCACCCCATTGGATTACTTTATAATGGCCTGCGAGTTTATATTCCTTTTCTTCATACTATACTACATTGTCGAAGAAACTATAGAAATTAAAGCTCTTAAGTGTGCCTACTTCAAGAACATCTGGAACCTTCTTGATCTTGTGGTGATAATTGTAAGTCTGGCATTGATGCAAATTTTACAGGCATTTCTTAAATTAGATATAAAACTTGTTGATTCCATAAGTGTCATCAAGAATGTTTTTTTTTTTACCTGTGCAAATATAATCAAGAATGTTTTATCTCTGAAACTGGGATTAAAGAAAACTTATGTATAATGAGAGATGCATACCTCTTTGACATACAGTATACAGTGGACCCCCGGTTAACGATATTTTTTCATTCCAGAAGTATGTTCAGGTGCCAGTACTGACCGAATTTGTTCCCATAAGGAATACACGTATTGTGAAGTGGATTAGTCCATTTCAGACCCCCAAACATACATGTACAAACGCACTTACATAAATACACTTACATAATTGGTCGCATTGGGAGGTGATCGTTAAGCGGGGGTCCACTGTATACAGTGGAACCTTGGTTTTCATTTGCCCTAGTTTTTGTTGAATTCAGTTTTCGATGACTTTTTTCATCAAAACATTGTCCCAGTTTTCGTTCATCACCTCGGTTTTTGTTCGCCGTACAGAACGTGTCCGTCTGCCTGCGTCCAAACAAAGCATCCCACACACACATTCTGAGTCAGTCTGGCTTTGTTTTTCATTGAGTGAACATTACCCTGCACATTCATACAAAATTGTTTGTATGAATGTGCAGTTTATTGAGTGCGACTGCTAAATAAGCCACCATGGGGCCAAAGAAGGCAAGAAACATGATAGAATTCAAGAAAGAACTCGTAGCAAAGTATGAAAGTGGAATGAGTTGCAAAGTTTTGTGGAGAAATATCACTTCCATTCTCTACAAAGGTAGAGGGTGGTAGTGATTGTGGTATTGATGGTGGTAGAGGATGGTAGCAGTTGTGAGGTGGTAGAGGGTGGTAGTGATGATGGTAGAGGGTGGTAGTAATGGTGGTCAAGGGTGGTAGTGATGGTAGTAGAGGGTGGTAGTGATGATGGTAAAGATAACCTCTCCTCCCTCTCCCTTCCTCGCCATTTTCCATATGCCAATGAGAGTCTTCAATAAAGGTAAAAGTGATGTTAAATGTTCGTTTATCCATTTCATTAGTCCTTTATATTTACGTATTTCTCATTGTTTTCTGTATGTAAAACTATACAATTATTCTCTATAAAATGTATTTTTTGTTAATAGTTTTGGGTGTCTGGAACGAATTAATTGGATTTACATTATTTCTTATGGGAAATATTTCTTCAGTTTTCGTCGAATTCGGTTTTCATCAGACTTTGGAATGAATTAGACGACAACCAAGGTTCCACTGTACTCTGTGAATATTGTATACTGTAGTTATGAAAATTTTAAAACAAAGCTTAAAAAGAAAAACTTTTGTTTTACTTTTTGGGTCACACTGCCTGGTGGGATGTGGCTGGTGTGTTAAAAAATGAATTAAAATTTTGTAGCAGAGATTATTAGATGTTATTTAAACAATTTATCTGTTTTTTTTTTTTTTTTTTTTTTTTTTTTTCAACAAGTCGGCCGTCTCCCACCGAGGCAGGGTGACCCAAAAAAGAAAGAAAATCCCCAAAAAGAAAATACTTTCATCATCATTCAACACTTTCACCACACTCGCACATTATCACTGTTTTTGCAGAGGTGCTCAGAATACAACAGTCTAGAAGCATAAACATATAAAGATACACAACATATCCCTCCAAACTGCCAATATCCCAAACCCCTCCTTTAAAGTGCAGGCATTGTACTTCCCATTTCCAGGACTCAAGTCCGACTATATGAAAATAACCGGTTTCCCTGAATCCCTTCACTAAATATTACCCTGCTCACACTCCAACAGATCGTCAGGTCCCAAGTACCATTCGTCTCCATTCACTCCTATCTAACACGCTCACGCACGCTTGCTGGAAGTCCAAGCCCCTTACCCACAAAACCTCCTTTACCCCCTCTCCCAACCCTTTCGAGGACGACCCCTACCCCGCCTTCCTTCCCCTATAGATTTATATGCTTTCCATGTCATTCTACTGTGATCCATTCTCTCTAAATGACCAAACCACCTCAACAACCCCTCTTCTGCCCTCTGACTAATACTTTTATTAACTCCACACCTTCTCCTAATTTCCACACTCCGAATTTTCTGCATAATATTTACACCACACATTGCCCTTAAACAGGACATCTCCGCTGCCTCCAACCGTCTCCTCGCTGCTGCATTTACCACCCAAGCTTCACACCCATATAAGAGTGTTGGTACTACTATACTTTCATACATTCCCTTCTTTGCCTCCATAGATAACGTTTTTTGACTCCACATATACCTCAACGCACCACTCACCTTTTTTCCCTCATCAATTCTATGATTAACCTCATCCTTCATAAATCCATCCGCCGACACGTCAACTCCCAAGTATCTGAAAACATTCACTTCTTCCATACTCCTCCTCCCCAATTTGATATCCAATTTTTCTTTATCTAAATCATTTGACACCCTCATCACCTTACTCTTTTCTATGTTCACTTTCAACTTTCTACCTTTACACACATTCCCAAACTCATCCACTAACCTTTGCAATTTTTCTTTAGAATCTCCCATAAGCACAGTATCATCAGCAAAAAGTAACTGTGTCAATTCCCATTTTGAATTTGATTCCCCATAATTTAATCCCACCCCTCTCCCAAACACCCTAGCATTTACTTCCTTTACAACCCCATCTATAAATATATTAAACAACCATGGTGACATTACACATCCCTGTCTAAGACCTACTTTTACCGGGAAGTAGTCTCCCTCTCTTCTACACACCCTAACCTGAGTCAGTGCAATCTGTGTCAGTGCAATTTACTCTATTTATTCTCAGTACAACTGCAAGGAATTGTTGCCATCTCTTGTGAATTATAGTTACACAAAATATATTTCATAAATTTTTCGACACACCGGCTATATTTCACTAAGGCAAGGTGACCTAAAATGAAAATCAAAAGTTTTTCTTTTTAAATTCAGTAATTTATGCAGAAAGGGTTACTAGCTCCTTGCTCGTGGCATTGTAGTCACCTCTTACAGCACGCATGGCTTACACATTAAGAATTCTTTTCCACTTTCCTATGGAGACTTCAGTAATTTTATTTGTCACTTGTAAATGCAGCCTATTTTATTAGAAGTATGATCCTCTGATAGAATGTCTTTTCTTTTCAGATTTCCATTGTGTGTACTGGATTTAGTATATATTCAACCATCTCAATCAACTATTTGTTGGAAGACTTGCTAGCTGACCCCGACACCTTCTCTGACTTCCAGTTCTTAGGCTTCTGGCAGTCACAATTCAACAATGGAGTGGCTGTCTTAGTTTTCTTTTCCTGGTTTAAACTCTTTAAGTACATCTCCTTCAACAAGACCATGACTCAGCTCTTTACTACCTTGTCAAAGGTGTGTATATACCAGTGAGTCAAAATGTGCCACATTGCTCAGGCACTTATAACTGTGTGCCTGAGTGGTATACAATACTGACAAGATGAAGAATTAGGCATGTACAACATCTAAGTACATATCTTTATTTGTAGACGTTTTGCCATCCACTGGCTTTGTCAATACAAATTCGAGGACATAATGGGAATTTGTATTGAATTTGTGTGATAAAGCCACTGGATGGTGAAATGTCTACAAATAAACACCCATATATTGCGTGTTTTTGGAAGTACAATGTCTGCACTTTAACCCTTAAACTGTCCAAACGTAGATCTACTTTTTTCAACATTTGAAAGTATGTAAAAAAATGTAGTTCTTCTTTTTGTTTTTTTACATTTGAAAATGTGTAAAAACAACTTTGATCTACGTTTTTTTTTGTTATATTTGAAAATATGTAAAAAAAACGTAGATCTACTTTTGGAGCACTACACTTGTGAACATAGATCTGTTTGGACAGTTTAAAGGTTAAAGGAGGGGTTTGGGATATTGGCAGTTTGGAGGGATATGTTGTGTATCTTTATACGTATATGCTTCTAAACTGTTGTATTCTGAGCACCTCTGCAAAAACAGTGATTATGTGTGAGTGAGGTGAAAGTGTTGAATGATGATGAAAGTATTTTCTTTCTTTTTGGGTCACCCTGCCTCGGTGGGAGACGGCCGACTTGTTAAAAAAAAAGAAAAAAAAATTGCCTGTGTCTAATTCTTCACTCATAACTGAGACAAGAATAATGTTTCAATCTAATTATCATTTTGTGTAATAGCTGAAATTATTCAGTCAAGCTTGTTAACTTGTTAGTTTTATACTTCATGAAATGTTTGAAAGGTCATCATTTAGTAATAACAGTAATGAATTCTCCAACAGTGTGCCAAAGACGTGGCCGGCTTCACCATCATGTTCTTCATCGTGTTCTTTGCTTATTGTCAGCTTGGCTACCTACTGTTTGGCACACAGGTGTGTAACAACACTCTTCTTACAGAATTTTTTCAGTTTTTCATATACGTACAGGATGGCCCCACTTATACAGCAGGTTAGGTTCTGGGCTACTGCTGTAAAGTGAAAATTGCTGTAAAGTGAATCATAGCCTTTTTTCACTTTCAAATGCCTGATAACATGTTTACATTATCATATATTAAGTGAACAATAGAGCTAGGCCTTAATTTGCATGTACAATACACACATTACTTATTTTAAAATATTTTCATCCTTATCTTATAGTGAGTGGTGAATATATTTGCTGTAGGAAGTCTGAATAAACAAAGAATGGGTATAATTGAAAATGCTGCATTAGCAAAATGCCATAAAGTGAAGTGCTGTGAAGCCTGTGAAGTGGGACCCATATGTAGTGTACTGTATACTCTTTCTGTTAACATGGGGTAGTTATTTTTTGTGTTAGCTAAACTAGCAGGCAAAATCTTAAATGAAATACAGTGGTACCTCGAGTTACAAACTTAATTCGTTCCAGAAGGCTGTTCGAGTGCCGATACCGATCGAATTTGTTCCCATAAGGAATAATGTAAATTAGATTAGTGTGTTTCAGACTCCCAAAAATATATTTACAAAACCACTTACAAAAATACACTTACATAATTGTTTGAGTTGGGAGCTGTTCAAAACTTAAGGTACCACTGTATATAATAAAAAAAATGTTTTTTCTCAACTGATCTCAGTCTTTTATCCTAATGATTTTTATCTTTACAGGTTGAAGATTTCAGTACTTTTCTAAATTCTGTTTTCACCTTACTCCGAACAATCCTTGGTGACTTTAACTTCCACGACATTGAGGCAGCCAACAGGATCCTGGGACCTATATTCTTCATTTCTTACGTGTTTTTTGTCTTCTTTGTGTTGCTCGTGAGTACAGAGTTTCTCATTCTTTTTTGGGCAAATACTGTACATAGTTAGTCTCCATCATGTAGGCATTTCTGTATTGATTGCTCATTAAATGCTTAGTATTAGTCTAAGTTTTTTATGAAAGATTGTAAGATCTAGATAATTAAATTATTTTTTTTCATTATTCCTAGATATGAAGGTTTAAAATTTCTATTTTGAATTTTATATGCAGTGGGAGAAATTATATGGGTGTGAACCACTGAGCCACTAGACTAAAAGAAAACAGTTCATAACTGCACATTTTTTCTCGTTTAGTACTGTTATTTTCATGATAGGATTAAATTTTAAGGTATAAGAGGGCCCTTCATATTCAGCACCTCTTATCAGTATTCCACATATTCATTGGCTTTCAGTTGAGGAAGTGTTCATTATAGTCCACCGGCCAGTGAACCTTGCCGGTGACGTTCATGAGCAGGTAGAATACAATGAACAGTGGCTCAGTTTAAAGCCAATGAAAATGTGGAATACCAAAAACAAGGTTCCATATATGTGGGGCCCTCCTGTACTGTAAATGCTGTTTAGTATACAACAGTAGTGACATTAGTGGTGAAGTTATATTTGCATGGTGTATGTGTGTGCAGCTGTCTCTGGTACTATACTCTGAAAATAGCATACTGTAATTAAAATATCTACAGTAATTAATTCATATAGGAAAACATTCATACTTAGGTAATGGGTAAAACATGAAATAATTATACCTATGAAGATAAGCTATAGATGCTCTGCAGTGGCACTGGCTTCAGCTCTGCAATAGGCACAAGTAATTATACAGTATTTAGATAAAGGTAGGGAAGTTTGTATTGCATTTATGGATTTAGAAAAGGCATATGATAGAGTGGATAGAGGAGCAATGTGGCAGATGTTGCAAGTATATGGAATAGGTGGTAAGTTATTAAATGCTGTAAAGAGTTTTTATGAGGATAGTGAGGCTCAGGTTAGGGTATGTAGAAGAGAGGGAGACTACTTCCCGGTAAAAGTAGGTCTTAGACAGGGATGTGTAATGTCACCATGGTTGTTTAACCCTTTCAGGGTCCGTCCCGTAGATCTACGGCTTTACGGTGAGTGTCCAAACCGTAGATCTACGCCATGAGCTCAGCTCACTCTGATAAACTGTGAGTGGTACATTTGGGCCTAGATATGAGAGAATACATCTATGTGGTATGTGTGCACCACATAAAACAGATCCTGCAGCACACTGTGTATAATGAGAGAAAAAAACTGAAATCATGATTTTTCGATTAAAACAGCAACTTTGCAGTGTTTTTTCGCATGTTTTTTATAGTTGTATTTGCGATTTCTTGGTCTCATTTGATAGACTGGAAGACATATTACAGAAATAGAGATGATTTTGATTGGTTTTAGCACTGGAAATGGCTTGAAACTGAGCTCAAAGTAGCGGAAATGTTAAATTTTTGCCGATATTCAAGAGTAAACAAACGACCTCACACGTCTAATACACGTCAGCTGGTGGGTCTAATATACATTCACAAATATGGTGATGATATTTATACAATTATTACAGTATTGCATAACAGTAAATCTTCTATGTTTTGGTGTGAATAAAAATTCATTATGTGAATAAAAAATCAAAATGGAATTTATTTGTAAAGCCTCAAAATATAACTAATGAACAGAGGAAATGTTAGTTTAGTGCCAGGAATGCCTACATTGTTTATTCTGGACCCTATTTTGAAATTGGAATATTTTGAACTTTGTGTTAAATTGGCCAAATTAACAATTTCCGATCACTTTATTTTGTAGTTGAAACAGTTGACTTGGCGATTTCTTGTGCTCAATCGATAGAATAGAAGTAATACTAGTGAAATAGCTAAGAATTTGGTTGATTGGAATAATGTAATTGGCCTAAAATGGGAGTCAAAGTCGGCAAAATCGCCGATTCGTAAATATCGCTGACACATCAAAATTCGCGAGAGCATAATTTCGTCAATTTTCCACCAAATTTCGTACTTTTTGTTTTATTACCTTCACAAAAAGATTCTCTACGATTTCATAAGAAAAAATAACAAATTTTTTTTTTTAAAATTCTTGGACACTGGTGCGTGACTCCAGATTTGGGCCTTGGACCCTGAAAGGGTTAATATATTTATAGATGGGGTTGTAAAGGAAGTAAATGCTAGGGTGTTCGGGAGAGGGGTGGGATTAAATTTTGGGGAATCAAATTCAAAATGGGAATTGACGCAGTTACTTTTTGCTGATGATACTGTGCTTATGGGAGATTCTAAAGAAAAATTGCAAAGGTTAGTGGATGAGTTTGGGAATGTGTGTAAAGGTAGAAAGTTGAAAGTGAACATAGAAAAGAGTAAGGTGATGAGGGTGTCAAATGATTTAGATAAAGAAAAATTGGATATCAAATTGGGGAGGAGGAGTATGGAAGAAGTGAATGTTTTCAGATACTTGGGAGTTGACGTGTTGGCGGATGGATTTATGAAGGATGAGGTTAATCATAGAATTGATGAGGGAAAAAAGGCGAGTGGTGCGTTGAGGTATATGTGGAGTCAAAAAACGTTATCTATGGAGGCAAAGAAGGGAATGTATGAAAGTATAGTAGTACCAACACTCTTATATGGGTGTGAAGCTTGGGTGGTAAATACAGCAGCGAGGAGACGGTTGGAGGCAGTGGAGATGTCCTGTTTAAGGGCAATGTGTGGTGTAAATATTATGCAGAAAATTCGGATGTGTGGAAATTAGGAGAAGGTGTGGAGTTAATAAAAGTATTAGTCAGAGGGCAGAAGAGGGGTTGTTGAGGTGGTTTGGTCATTTAGAGAGAATGGATCAAAGTAGAATGACATGGAAAGTATATAAATCTATAGGGGAAGGAAGGCGGGGTAGGGGTCGTCCTCGAAAGGGTTGGAGAGAGGGGGTAAAGGAGGTTTTGTGGGCAAGGGGCTTGGACTTCCAGCAAGCGTGCGTGAGCGTGTTAGATAGGAGTGAATGGAGACGAATGGTACTTGGGACCTGACGATCTGTTGGAGTGTGAGCAGGGTAATATTTAGTGAAGGGATTCAGGGAAACCGGTTATTTTCATATAGTCGGACTTGAGTCCTGGAAATGGGAAGTACAATGCCTGCACTTTAAAGGAGGGGTTTGGGATATTGGCAGTTTGGAGGGATGTGTTGTGTGTCTTTATATGTGTATGCTTCTGGACTGTTGTATTCTGAGCACCTCTGCAAAAACAGTGATAATGTGCGAGTGTGGTGAAAGTGTTGAATGATGATGAAAGTATTTTCTTTTTGGGGATTTTCTTTCTTTTTTTTTTTGGGTCACCCTGCCTCGGTGGGAAACGGCCGACTTGTTGAAAAAAAAAAAAAAAAAAAAAAAATTATACAGTACAAGTTTATTTGAACATGATACATTGTTAATGCAGAAATGGGTGACACTTGAGAGCATGCCAGCGTTTAAAAAAAAAAAATTATTTTTATATCTAATTTCAAGTGTCGTTACAGAACATGTTTTTGGCCATCATCAATGACACCTACACAGAAGTCAAGTTTGATCTGGCTGGTCAGCGCAATGAATTCGAAATTGCCGACTACTTTAAACGTGGCTACAACAACATGATGGGCAAACTGGGCAAGAGAGATAAGCTGATAGATCTCCAGAACGCTATCAAACTTTCCGATAGCGATAATGATGGACTTTTGACATTTGACGCAATTCGAGCCAACCTCAAGAAGTTAGTTTTATCATTTCTGCTCCATTTTTAAGTATTCTTCATTGAAAAAAACTAAGGTTAAGCTTGAAAGCAACATTTTGATGATTTTTTTTTTCAATAATAAGGATAATTAAGAAGTTAGTTTTCATTACATGCCTCTTATGGTAAGGAGACATGAATGCAATTACAGGAGGGACAGGTCATATGGCTTTAAGGTTTGCAACCCCAAATGATAAGGGAAAATTGACAAATGGTGGAAAAGAGCCATTTTTTCATTATCAAGTGCATCTAAGATGCCTGATAACGAGTTTATATTATATTATGTGCTCAATACAGCTAGGCATAAAAAAAGGTATAAAAGTAAAATAAATACAGCCTCTCCTCACTCAGCGATGTACTTGTTTACCCACAACTTAGACTTAAGATGTGCTCGTTTACCCACAACTTAGACTTAAGATGTGCTCTCTGACCAGTATGTATACCTAAATCAAATATATTAAGAGCTGATTTTCTCTATTTTGTTTATTACAGTATACAGTACACTACTGTATAAACATTTAAAAATATACCAGAAATGTTATAAATGGTGCAGAGGTGACATTAAAACAATATCAAAGATGGTTGACACAAACCCACTACCATTATAGTATGCTCCTCACTTAGAGATGAATTCGTTTACCAACATGGTCTTAATGGAACTTCATCGTTAAATGAGGAGAGGCTGTATAAAGTACATATAATACTTACCTTAAAATATGGTGCCAGTCACCCTTCCCTTACACAACTGTTGTATGATAATAACAGTAGAGCAGTAAAAGCACAGAACATAATGAACAATGGCTGAATTGAAAACTAACAAAAACTTGAAATACTTTAAAGAGGGAGCTGTATACATGGGGTTCTCCTGTATTTGGTACTTTTATTTATGACATTTTGCCCATTCAGTGGGTTTTATTAAGTCGCAAATAGATAAACTTGGCAAGGGAGGGTGAACAAATATAGTGATGAGTAGTAATAAGGGTAAAGAACAAGTGAGGTACTGGTTAGGATACAATAATACCCAAATGCTGTAAAAGTTTTCTGACAGGAGGTTCATCTAGTTTGTAGAAACTGTTATTGGAGATACTGATGTGTTGACGTTGGAGATACTGATGAATGTTAAGTCACGGACTTGTCTTCTCCCAGTGTTGTCTTAAGGAATTAGTAGTTCGCCATTTCAGTTTAATAAGTGATCATGAGAATTGTGACATATTATGCAGGCATTGTTATGATTGTTCTTTTGCCTATTTGTGTTCTCAGTTTCATTTTTGGAGGTCTTGGAATGTTTCACCTAGGTACATTTTGTCACATGTGTTAACTTAACCATATTTAACCCCACCAAAGAGATTCTTAGTCCTTCTTAACAACTTGATTTCCAGAAAAATCACTAAGATCTTCTCCAACAGCAAACTCATCATAAACCACCTCTCAATATACTACCATCACGAACATCACCAGACAGAAACACCAACGTAACTACTGTTGGGTCATGCTCCATCCTTTGTAACAATTGTGACAGAATTTATGTAGGTGAGATATCCAGGAACCTCCAGAAGTGAATTTCAAAGCACCATTACATATGCCATCAGAACAGTCTTAACAGTGCAAGCATACTAAATGTTAATTCTCAGAACCTCTTAATAAATTGGAATTGTGCACTGCTATTTAACAAGGATGATAACACTCAGGGAAGATGAGTCCTTAAGTCTGTACTAATCGGTGTTTCCAGTATCATCATCCAGAACAATGGTTTCTGCAATTTAGGTTAACCTCTTGCCAGAAAACTTTGAGGACATTTAAGAATCAGTGTGACTTGATTTACATTCCACATGCTCTTCACCTCGCCACTATTCTTTGCTATATATTTGCTACTGTCCCTTCCCAAATTTGTCTGTCTGTGATTCGATAAAACTCAATGCTGAGATGAATTATCATCAATAAAGGTTCCTTATAACTGCATGTGAATCACCTTACCATCATGTTAGCATGTCATGATGTTACATACTTATATGCCTCCTGTCAATTAAATTGCTACTGAAATATTTTATCTGCAGGTGTAATTTCTCCGACATGGAGATTGAAATGTTCTTTGCTAAATATGACACTGATGGAGACCGAGTATTGGAAGCTGACGAGGTGAAGAGAATGCTAGCTGATCTAGAGGGCCAAAAGTTAGAACTTGAAAGTAAGTTTATTACAGTATTATATATTTCTAGAAAATATGTATGTACTAGGTTGGTAGACAGCAATTACCCAGGGAGGTACCACTATCCTGCCAAATGAGTGTAAGACAGAAACCTGTATTTGTTTTACATGATAGTAAGAGTGCTAGTATCTTTTTTTTCTGTCGCATAAACCACAAGATATCAAGTATATCTTACTACTTTTACTTACACTTAGGCCACACTACTCATGCATGTACATGTTTATGTACACACACTCATCTGAGTTTTCTTTGATTTTGTCTTAATAGTTCTTGTTCTTGTTATTTTTTTTCATATCCATGGAGAAGTGGATTAAGAATCTTTGCTCCGTAAGACATGTATGTTGTAAAAGTCAGCTAAAATGCACATTCAAACATCCATGCACATTCAAACATCCCAACCTAAAAGGATGGGATGTTTGAATGTGCATGGATGTAGTACAGATGATAAGAAAGAGATATCTGTGGATGTTAGGAATGAAAAGAAGCTGGATGTCTTGGCTCTAAGTGAAGCAAAGCTGAAGGGGGTAGGAGTTTCAGTGGGAAGAAATAAATGGGATTCGGTCAGGGGTTTCTAATAGTTAGAGATAAGGAAGGAGTAGCAATAATGTTGAAGGATCAGTTATGGCAGGAAAAGATTGAATGTAAATGTATAAATTCAAGGATTACATGGAGTTAAATAAGGGTAAGATATGAAAAGTGGGTTATAGTAAGTGTGTATACACCTGGAGAAGAGAGAATGTAGAGGAGGGAGAGAGAGAGATTTTAGGAGATGTCAGTGAGTGCTTGGGGAGCTTTGAACCAAGTGAGAGAGTACTTGTGGTGGGGGACCTAGAGTCTACTTGGAGGGTGTTCTGGGGGGTCAATGCCTCTGTGGCCCAGTCCTTGACCAGGCCTCCTGGTGGATCAGGGCCTGATCAATCAGGCTGTTACTGCTTGTTGCATGTAGTCCAGTGTATGAACCACAGCCTGGCTGGTCAGGCACTGACTTTAGGTCTTTGTGTACTAATAGCACCCCTACTTTTCACTGGGGGTATGTTCCACTGTCTGCCAAGTCTTGTACTTTCGTAGGGAGTGGTTTTTGTGTGCAGATTTGGGACCAGACCCAATAGGATTTTCCAGACTGTGTAATTTATGATGTATCTCTTTCCCACTCCAGTGAGTGCAAGTCAAATGACTTCAGATGTTCCCAGTAGTTAGGGTGTTTGATGGAACTTATACATGCAGTAAAAGTTTTCTGTAAAATTATCTAGCTCTGCGATTTCACCTGACTTGAATGGAGATGCTTGTGTTTAACAGTATTCCAGCCTAGAGAGAACAAATGATTTAAAAATTATCATCATTTGCTTGGCATCCCTTGTTTTCAAGGTTCTCATTATCCATCCTATCACTTTCCTCTCAGATGTGATAGTGACACTGTTGTGATCCTTGAAGATTAGAACCTCTGATATTAACACTCCTTCACATTACTTTTCCGCTCTTTTGTGTGGTTAGAGTTTGTGGTATACTCAGTTCTAGCTTTTATTTCCTTCAGGTTTCCATAATGGAGTGGTTGAAATTTTTCCTAATTGAACGTCATATTGTTTTCTGTTGCCCATTTGGAAACTTGGTTGATATCTGTTTGGAGATTTGCCATGTCCTCACTGGATGACAGTCTCATGCAGATTCTAGTATCATCTACAAAGGATGACATGGTGCTATGGTTTACATCTCTGTCTTTGTCTGATATGAGGATGTGAAACAGTATGGGGGTGAATACTGTGCCTTGTGAAACAGAGCTTTTCACTGTGGCAGCCTCCAACTTATCTCTGTTTACCAGAGCTCTTTGTGTTTGATTGGTTAGAATGTTGAAGATCCATCTGTCCACTTTGCCAGTGCCAGTTATCACTTTAGCATGCATTTTGTGCACTGTTACACCATAATCACACTTGTCAAAAGGCTTTTACCAAGTCTATGTATACTACATCTGCATTCTGTTTGTCTTCTAGTGCATACAAGACCATGTTATAATAGTCCAGTAGTTGAAAGAGGCAGGATTGACCTACTCTAAACCCATGCTGCCCTGGATTGTTCAGTTGTTGGAAATCAAAGTGGTTTGTGATCATGCTTCTTAAAACTCCTTCAAAGATTTTTATGTGTGGCATTAATGCTGTTGGTCTATAGTTCTTAGCTGTTGCTTTGTTGCCACCATTATGAAGTGGGGCTATATCTGTTATTTTTAGCAACTGTAGGATTACACCCTTCTCTATTCTCCTTCTCCATAGCATACTTAAGGCAAACTCCTCTAGAAGTATGCTGAAGAAATGTATTTTGGTGTTGATGGATGGCTTGAGGCCCTGTATATTCATAAGCACAAATAAAGTTATATTGCATGTTTGTTGGGGAATTTTGTTGTTGGCAACAGTAGTTGTAGTTTTGGGAGGTGGGCACTGGCTGCACCTCCAGTCCATCAAGGCTCCAAGGTGGTGGAATATTTTGCTGAGAGACCCCTTAGCAATATCAAAGAACCTCTCTTGAGGGGTTTGCTTCCACTGAGCTGCTAGAGGAGGGAAGATCAGGGCATAGGGAAGTGAGGCAGTACCCTAGATCAAGGGTGGGGAACCTGTGACCTTCTAGAGCATAAGTGTGGCCTTTTGAATGAATTATTTTTCTTGAAGTTATTGTATAATTAACTTTTTACAAAATAACTGACATTTTGCAGTATATCTAATCAAAATTTATTGAGTGCAGCCTTATTAGATTACAGCTAACTTTAATGTGGCCTTCTGACATAAAAAGGTTCCCCTCCCCCACCCCTGGACTAGATCATGTCATGTCATGTGTGCTTTGAAGATGACAGCATTTGATAACATCTTGGAAAAAGTCAAGTGCAGATAAAAACCAGGATAGATGTCCAATTTTCAGTTTCAGTTTGTGGATTAGCTGTGATTTGTTCCAGCCAATTCATTGTGACTTATTCTTAGTGGCCCATAAGTAAAATTTAAAAGATTTTGCTTAATTATGTCCTTAGAATACAGTTTAGAGAGCAAGTTTGATGGCAAATTATAATAATTTATGTGGTTTTACACAATACTTGTGCTCTTTTTACTTACCAAGCTGACAAAACTGAAGGAAATAGTAAGTTGTTAATTTATTAAGCTGAGCTTAATGTCTGCATCTAACTGTATGGTTAAAGATTACAATCTCTATTTTTACATACATTTCAGCACTGTATTTAAGAAATATTTTAATTAAAGCATATTTCTTTGTCCTTGCTTGAAAATGTACATTGTATATTTGTAGTATATATTAATATCTATCTTGGCTTGATGAGCAGGATATGTGTGCAGCATGTCGATTTCTTGATAATTTATAGTTTTGTAAAGACTTATTAGTTGCTGCATATTGCTACTTCCTTATAAAAGTGAAATTGTTCATATGCATTTCACTAATAATCCACAATTTACAAAGGAAATATTCTACATCATTTCAATCCATCCTGAAGTATTACCTCACCACTTGACAGTAAAAACTTGATAATGGTCCAAGATTGACTCAAACTCCATCTAAAGTTTCCTATGTAATTTGTGGTATTGTAACTTTTATTATCCATATGCATGTTAAGCAGCTTTCAAGTACAGTATATTAATCTGAATGTTATGCTGAGGTTTATATAATTTTTCATATTGTAGTTAGTTTATATATGAACTTTCCCCAAATTTAGATGCAGTTTATCTAAAGTCCCTCGGGACAAGCCCAGTCATAGTATGAATGTGGTGAAATTTGTTTTTTTTTGGGGGGTCCCTGCCCGGGAAACACCCCAATGTTTTTAAAAAAAAAAAATTTTTTAAACCCTTTTTTCTTAAAAAAAGTCATTTAAAACCCTTTTAATTTAACAAAATTTTTAATTTTTTAACCACATATTTATATTTTCCCCAAAATAAATTCCGTGGTGGTGAAAGCCCTTTTGGACAAAATTAAAAAGGTCCGAAAGGGTGAACCGGGAAACACGACCAGTGTCGGGCCTCGTCTGGTCAGGGTTTTCTATCGCTCTTTTTCATTTGGGGAGTTCTCTTTTGTAAGGACATTTTTTTTTTTTTTTAAACTTCTTGTTTTTTCCCTTTTTAAACTTTTTGAGTTTCATGGGGGTGAGCTCCAACTTTGGCCCGCCTCTAACTTTTTATCAGTTTGATGAAACTTAGCGTCCCAGACTTTTTAAATTTTGTCGGGCCATTTGTGTCCACTGCTAAATTCCACAAAATGTCCCAAAATTTTTTACATTGAAAATAATATTTCTGATATTTTTTGGGGGAATTTCATGGGAAATTTTTAAACCCATGCTTTCTTGTTCATGTTACATCTTTGGTAATGACCCTATTCCTTTTCATCTTATCTGTGCTTTGTGGGAATTTATATGCGGTGTGAAAAAAAAACCCATAGTTCTCATTTTTCTTTCTTCATAGCACTTTCCTTTTTTTTACCGGGCCACTTAAATATGTAGTGGGGCCCTAGGAATAAAAATTAAATCTTTTTTAACTATGATTAAAAAGTTAAAACATACTTGAAATTTAGGGGGAGGAAAGGAGAAAATTCTAAAAACAGCTTCAGGGAAAACCTTGATTTTTCCCCTAAAAGCAAGTTTATTCTTTCCTGGGTTTTAAAAGGGTCCCTATGACGTTTTTGGGGGGGAAAAGTTTTAGGTTATTGTGATTTTTTTTTTCTTTTAAAAATTTTTTCCAAAAATTTAAATTTACCCCCCAAATCTCCCCTTTTGAAAAGAAAAAAGGAAGAAAGGTTTGAAACAGTTCTTTCCTACATTTCTTTCCCTGCAAATTTTTTTTTTTTGGGGAATTGGGATAGAAGGCAGAGGTTATTGGCCCCCAAGGATACTTTGTTTGGTATCAGAAAGAAAACCTAAAATATTTAGTTTTGGTGTTTTAAGATGAAAAGCTGCAAAGGTTTAATTTTAAAATTAGGGAAAGGGGGGCCAGGTAATAGTTTTTTGCTTTAAGTTGATGTAGCTTTCTAGGGTGTTTAACGGGATTTTTCCGGGGAGGGATTTCCCCGGGGGTCAACCCCCCCGGGGCCCCCGGCCGGGTGACCAGGCCTCCGGGTGGTTTCGAGCCTAAATCAACCAGTGGGGAAAGTGGGGCTGAAATTTTTTGGTTTTAGGATTCTGAGAAATTTTTTGAAAATTTTAAAAAATCAGAATAAAAAAAAAAACTCAATTTTTTATTTGACCACAGACTTACATTTTTTTGGAAAAAGAGTTCATTTTTTTAACTATAATATTATTTTTGGGGGAAGTACACCCTTTTGGGCCCTTTAAACTACCTCCCCTTAAAAGGGGTTTTCTCAACTATAACATAACTTAAAAGATAATACCCAAAAAGGGTTTTAAAAAAGGTGGGGGAAAAAGCCCTTTGTAATCTTTTTTTTGCTCCTCTAGTTTTACAGCCCCCCGGGGGGAACCGTCTAAAAACACGTTTTGGGCAGTTTGTTAGAAAAAGGGATCCCGGTATTTGGTAAAACTAGATCCCCAGGGGAAAAGACCAAAAACAAAAACCCCGGTAAACGAGGGGGCAAGTTTTGGGACCTTTTTCAGAGAATGAGGGAAATTTTTAAGGTCGTTTAAAAACATTTTTCAATTTTAAAACGAAAGCTGAAATTTTTTTAAACTTTAAAGGTGGGATTGGATGCCCTTTTGTCTGTCTCATAAAAAAGAAAGGGTTTTACGGGGCATGTTTTTGCTACTTCTATTACACTTAGGTACACTACTTTTTACAAAATACACATTTATTCATCCACTCATCTGAGTTTTTTTGTTTTTTATTTAAATAGTTCGGGGGTTCCTTTTTAATTTTTTCCTTTTATACCCAAATGGGGAAAGTGGGGAATAAGAATTTTTCCTCCGAAAGGGCCCCTGCGTGTTTAAAAGTCAATTTAAAATCCCGGGGAAACCCAATTGGCCCGTAAAAACCCTTTTTCCCTGAAAAAGATTATTTAAAAAAAAAGAAGAAGAAAATTGTCAAAGTGGGAAGCCCTAAAAGGCGTGGATGTTGGGGCGTGATAAAGAAAGGGGATGTTTGGGGGGAGGGTTTGAATAGAAAAACCCCCCTTGGAAAAGGTCCGGGCCCTTTTAAGGGAAAAAAAGTTTTGGAAAGGGGTGGGGGGGGTTTAAATTTTGGAGAAAATAAATGGGATTAGGTCAGGGGTTTAAAAATAATTTTGAGCTAAAGAAGGAGTAGCAATAATGTTGAAGGATAACCCCTTTGGCGGGGAAAAAGGGACTATAAATGTTTTTTAATTCAAGGTTTAAAATTTTTTTGGGAGAAAAAATAAAGTTTTTGGTGTAAAAAGGGGGTTTAAAAAGCGTGTATGCACCGGAAAAGAGAGAAGTTTTAGAGGAGAGAGAGAGTTTGGGGGGAAAATTTGGTTTGAGTGAATGCGGGGGGAGTTTGAATCAAGTTGAAGAAATTGGGGGTTGGGGGGTTTTTCAATCCCTTAAAAGTGGGTAAAAAGGGTTATGGAGGGAGTAGTAGTAAAATTTGGGGTTTTCCCAGGGGAAAAATGTAAAGGGGGACCCTTTAATTGAGCTATGTGTAGAAAGAAATTTGGTAATAAGAAATTACATTTTTTTATGAAAAAGGGATAAATAAATATACAAGGTAT